CCTGATTGCCATTGGTGTTGGATTCATTTGCGCTCTCATCAGCATCAAGAGCCATGGGATTGGCAGCACCAAGTGAAGCAGTGGCGGCATCTTGCTTGGACTCTTGAATGGTCATGGTGATGATGCCTGGGATCGAGGGAACATCAGTATCAGGAGCTGGTTCCAGTAGACCCAAGGACTTTGCTCTCTGGTGAATCTCTCTAGGCAATGGACAGTGGGTTCTCTGTAGCTCGAGAAGGGAGTTCCTAACACAGACAGAAGCAGTGTCATTTGCTGGGTTGGTGGGAACAAGGAGTGCCAGTTCTGTTTCCAGATAAGTGAGTATCTTGTGTGGATCTGCCTTCCATTTGCAGAGGAAACACAATGGGTCTTGAGGTCGAGAGATAGAGACCTGGTGACAGAAGCATCGCTGGGGACTGGTACATGATGGCTTTACTGCAGCTGAATGATCTGAAGGTGTAGTGGTCTCTTTCTGCGGGGTGGTGGGTAGACTTTTGGGTGAGTCAGAAGTGGAGTTGGTAGGTAATATGTCATGTGTTTGCTGTGGATTTTGAATGGCTGCTTTGGATACCAGGTTGTTGCTGGAGAGATGTGTTGCCGTGAGATCGTCCATCAAGTCCTGTTTCCTTGCAGTGTCTTGAAGGTGCTTGATGGCCTCCTGAATCTCATCTTCTGTGTGAGGAATGTCTGCCACTTCCAGTGTAGATTCATTTGGGGATAGCAGTAGTGTCAAAGGGGATATCGAGCGGGTGTCCATAGCAAAAGGATCGTGCAATGGAATGAACTGCTTGCAAGAGTTGCAAAAGTATGTAGGCTCGAAGCTTTGTTGCTTGTCAAGAAGATTGGTGGTTGGTTCGTCCAATGTGAGGTCCTCGGATGTCACGAGAGCGTTACATATGGGGCAAATGATGGGAATGGGTTCAACCAACTTGACTGGTGTAGTGAGATCGATCACTGCATCAACAGTGCCTTGGGAGTTTGGGTCAGCAGTATCGATTTCTAGGACGTCTTGATTAGGGTCACGTAGTGAAGGAGTCACAGAAACAGTTTCGTGATTGGTGATCATTGATTCGATAGGGGTGTCGGTGCCGTCGGAGTAGGTTCCAGGAAGAGCAGCTGACACTGTTCGTCCCTTCTTAGGAAAGTCGTCAGCGAGCCTACATGCTGGTTGGGTATCCTCTGTGTTGGTAGCTGCAGTGAGCCGGTTTGTGGCCAGAAATTGCTGGATCGATTTCTTTAGGCGAAACTTGGATTTCTTCTTGATTGGGTTAATAGTAGCATAGTCGGTGTCACCGCAGCCAGGTAGCAAGTTTGTGTTGTCGTATGCTGTTGTCGCTGCTTCTTGTTTGTTGGTTGCATCATCAGTGGTATTGTCAGAACTCGAGTTATTGGTTCGAGCATCGGTAACAATCAGTAGAGTGGAACATTTCGTATCATAGCATAAGTTGACATAGTCATCGCTGTTGTGAGACCAAGTCGCTGTGTCTGGAATACTAAGCGCAGCGCTTGGGATGTCGGAGGGTTGCGGTATTGCTTTCGAGTCGCAGAGCTTCACACCACTGCCCTTGGACAGGGCCGGCCATGCAGTGTCATCTGTCAGATCAGTAATTAATAAATTGGTTGTTGTGATCGCTTGGGTGCTGTCGACTTTGGCATAGACGGCGACATTCTTGGTGGGTCTCTGTTTCTTCCGTTGTCTTTTTGATGTTGAAAGTTTGGTTGTGGATGGATGAGTGACCTCCCATGCAACTGGAGTATCAGAGCTGTTGTAAAGGACTGGTGGTATTGGCAACGATGTTGGCTCAATGATGGCTGGAATTTGGTTCGAACGTTTCTTTTTATTTTGTTGTTTCCGACGTCGCCCGTTCTGAGCATTGGTAGATGTGTTAATCCTTGGTGGGGTGTCTGCCTTAGTTGCGTCGTCCTCGGAGCCAGTTCCTGTAGTGTCGAGAGTGATAATTGATAGATCGTCAATCGACTCCATTGAATTTTGTTGAAGCCATTTGTCGCAGCTATCTATTAACGCAAGAAATGGGTTGTCATTGCGAGGAGATTCAAAAGGGGTTTTGGTGGGTTGTATTGTGGGTGTGGCCATCTTCATCGGAGTGGTTTTCTTGCTTCTTGGAATATCGTGGAAAACCTCGGATGGAGTGGTATGGATCGTCGTAGTCGTACTAGTAGAAGAAGAGTCTTTGCGGTTGAGTGCCGTCGACCGTGCCTTGTTACTAGGGGATCTCAGTGGTTTCCTGACCAATCGTGATGCTCTCAAGGATGGTCTATCATCCGCATGCATCACTGGTGCATTATCCACCATTGTTTGAACCATTGGAGGCTTCGATCGACGGCTAAAAGGATCAAAGGACGCCATGGTGGCTCTTTTTCTTTCGGGTGGATAGGAAACAGCCAATTTTACTATAGAATAAACAGTACAAATTTCGAGTCAGTGTGCGTCCTGAACAGGTGATTCTAGATTGCGCAAATCTAGAATTGTGTCCTCTACCAGTGGCTTTGAATTCAATCTAATTGCCATGGCGGCATCATCTGACCCTTGAGATGAAACTACATACCGTATCTCAATTGCCCTTGTGAAAGCCCATTTATGTCTCCGTGGATCTCGCAAAGCCAAACCCTTTTGCCCCCGTAACGGTCCTCACTTTCTTGCCCCTGATCCCACAGAACCTAGTCCTGAATTTCGACTGTTCTTTGCTTAAGCCTGGCCCCGGCTGGCTTCCGTCCGTAGATAATTACCCTACTCTAAACCCCCCTTTAATAAACATACCGTATCACGCGACCACGATTCCTACCGCGTGACTCACCCAGTCCCAACTTTTAAAATTGGAAGAGCGAGAAAGATATGCCATAGATACCGGTACATATCATAATTGTTTCTAAGGTTTGACACCTTGCTTCTCAATTTTATTTTTTCTCGTTTTTTAATTAAAATAAGCTCATGTGGCTAAGCAAAGATCCAAGACTCAGTTGGCACCTCGCCTCTCACTTTTCAAACAAACAAAAAACAAGCAGCACCAGCCAGAAGAACTATTAATAGTGTATACTAGCTAGTAGTAAGGATGATGAAACTTGGACTCCTCCTTTTGGCGCTTGTGCCTTCTATATGGTCGATGGATCTTCATATGCATGGGGTGTGAAGTCCTTCGCTCACACCGGTAAGAATACGAAAGCTTCTTTGGCTGTGACCGTGACCAGCATTCCTCGTGGTGGCGCCTGCATTGACATGGACCTTATAATTGTTGAACCAGATTTGGCCGCCAAGATCTTTATTGGTGCGTATGGTGCCAACGCAGCTTTGTGTTTTGTGGCATCGGAGTTTGCTCTCAAGACTGTGTACGGAGGCAAGGACGCACAACCGGATTCTCTTTGGGGAGGCACTACATTGGGCGCTGTGGGATGTAACACGGCTCTTCTTCTTTACTTGCAACACTTCAAGGGCATGGGCTTTGAAAAGGCCATTGGCTGGTCGGTTTTGCCCTACCTGACCATGGAGTTTTATCGTATTTTCATCAATCCCGATTCAGACAAAGTCGTGGGGATGAAGAAAGAGACGCACTACGCAGCTGCTGTTTTGAATATCGCTGTCTTGGTGGCATCCCTCATGGAAGCCAGTTGGGCTCCTAAACTCAATTGGATTTATGGCCTCTTTAGTCTCATGCATGGCGTCTGGTACTATGTGAATCCTCAAGGTGCCATGGCGAAACAGAGCATCAATATGAGTGGACCTTTTGGACTGGTGATCATGAGAACCTTTGGATATTTTCTCTTGACACATTTCGCAGCTGTGTGTGGTGGTCTCCACATTACTGGTACTGGTACCGGTACTAGTAGTGATGTCCTGAAGGTTACTGGATGGACGGCTTTGATGAATGGGGTTTCCGTTCTTAGTGTGAGTCTTGATGGAACCATGGCTCGTGCTAATATGCCAGTCCTTCCTGGCTTTGCCTGGGCAATTCTTAGCTTTGTTCTTGGGGGTTCGTTGGTCTTGAAAGGATAGTTTACCTCGGCAGTCTTGCTGCCAGAGCCCTCAACCCCTTTAATTGTTTTTCCTGCTACGGTGGTCCCTGCAGGTATAAGGGTAGGGTTAGAATACAAATAAGTCAGCAAAACTAAATAGGTATCCTAGCTAGGATGGTGCTTTTAAAAATCAGCTAAAGCTATTTACATGCATCCTACTAGGGGGATTTGCTTCTACCAGGAAAAACTCTAAAGCCAGCGAACGCTATATAACTAGGATTTAGCTAGCTAGGGTACTGCTTCTAGCTTGCTATGGGAATCTGCTTTAGCTAGCTAGCACAAGCTAAGCACAAGCTAAGCACAGCTAAGCACTAGAGGTATCTGCTTCTAAGCTACTGGAACGTGTGGAAATCGCTGGTAACTTTCAGTCGTGCTTCCGATTTTGTCTAATTTTAAATAAGACAAGATTGAAAACACAGTTTTGTCCTAATTCTCAATCTTTCTTCAAATCTTGTCCTATAAGCCGGATTGCTCTTCCGGTCTTGTCATATAGGACAAGTTGCTGTCTCTAAATCTATTCATCTTGTCCTAAGTCTTCAAGCCAATTTTCAACGACACTACTAGTAGCTATTACAAGACGACTATGACCGTACTCCATCTATCGACAGCTAGAGCTTTTTCTTCTTCTTATCTTTGGTTCAAGCGTTCTTCCTTCATATCCAATGTATCAGTATTCTTATTTGGCTACTAATAGATGTATCTCTAAACACTTTCATGTAAGACAGATTGAATCTCAATGCACCAAACGTCCGCGTTCTACTCCGTAGTAAGCCAAGCTCGATGTCTTCTTCCAATCGCTTTTTTGCTTCTGATCCATCCCATTCTGGGTAACCATGAGCAGAGAATTTGTGCACAACATTGTTTGTGAGGAACGATAACTTTTAGGAGCGAGAGCTCTGGATCCCGTCAGAGATAGCTCCAACAGCTATGCTGGCCTACAGCTCCAGCACCCGCAGCTGGCTTATCTCCAGCAAAGCAGCAAGAAAGGATCGTCCTTTCTACCATAGTTTTAAGAAAATAGTACGAAAGATTGAGACCGATCCTGATTAGCTTGTAGCCCCTTTGATACCGCAGCAGTTGATACCTATCCTGTTGGAGGGCGGGCAGAAGCAGTAGGAGGTAGCAGATAGTACTGTTCCAGACTGCCACTGCACGATAGAATAACGAAGGCCCCCAGCTCCTGAGGAGAGCTGGCCCAAAAGGGTCCAGCAGAGAGCTCTGCTGGCCCTCCTGTCTGACTGACAGGACCAAGTCCTTGGTTTGGGTGCCTACTGGAGGTGTTGAACACTCCTGAGGCACGACAAGGCTCCCTGAACTGCCTGACTACCGCTGTCCCTGAGGAAGGGTTTCAGCGAGGCCCAGTCCACTACTTGAGTATTGGAACTGAACCTTCTAGAAACTTATTGGGGAAATTGCTGAATGCAGCCTTGTCATCATCGGTTCTAGAGAGGTGCCGCTTCACAATCTTTCAAAGGCTTGAAAGCCGTGTCGAGAAGTTTTTGTACCCATGAAGAGCATATTCGGGACGGCTTGTAAAGATTTCACTGGTTGTCATTACTTTGTCGGGCTGTCTCGGAATCACATTGTCGATAATATCTTGCATCAAAAGCGCTCTAGCTTTGCTCTTGAGCCAGGATTCTTCGGCATCTGGTGGGATCTCGTCCAATGGGACTTCCAACTGCTCATCCTTAAAGATGTCGGGTGGTAATGGAGGAGGAGTCCTCGAATTCTTGGTGGTTTGACGTCGCGGCATGGTTTGTTGTGTCGTTGTTGTTGTGACTGTTGCTGTCAAAAACGACCCAACTAACTCAAGAAATTTGAGAGCTAAAAATCTAGCTCTCCAAGAAAGAATTTGAAGAGCAGGGAGACACGTAGAAATCCTACCACGAGCAGGCCTTGCTGGCTTAGGTCACCTCTGAATTCAGAATTCTGCTGGCCTCCAATTTTTTTGGCGGCCCAAAGGTGCCACAATGGTCTCAACCCGAAGTGGAAAGAAGGAAACAAAGGCTGATCCTGGTGGAGGGTCTGTTGCATCGTCTACTGTTGGCAGTAGACCAGGGTTACCAGCATTTGTAATCAAGTCTCTTGCAACTGACATCCAACGAGAGTACGGAGGAATTCACAAGCTAAAGGGCCCAAAGGTGCTGCAAAAGCTTCTCGACAAGCACAACTCGGACGGCAAAGCTTTGTACGGAGAAGTTGGCTCGGCTCTTCGTACCAAGATTAGCAACAAGGTAAACAAGTGGAAATTGTTGTCACAGGATCAGTGGCGGAGCAGAGTATTGCTGAAGCTAGAAATTCCAGAAATGCCCACCAAGAAAGAGAAAGAACGAGAAAACCGATTCTTCGATCAGCTCAAAGGAAGGGACGAAAGATGAAGACGACGAACTGCCTGTTCCAGCAGTGATCGAGACGCCCACCAAACTACCCAAGAAGAAGCAGGAAACGCAGGAAACTCCGAAGTCAACACCAACAAAGCAGCAAGGGATCGCCAAGATCAAGAAATCTACCCCAACAAAAGATCTTGCTGCCAGTCTTGACAATTTGAACTTGGGCAACAGCAACTCTAGCATTCGTACGTGCTGAGAAATGGAATAATGTTTGTTCTTGGTTGTTCTCCTCACTGCCTTTTGCTTGTTTCTTAGTTCCAATCCAAGTCGATATTGAAAATCCGGCAAATAATGGGCCACTTCAGGTCTACGGGCTCGGCCAGATGCTTGAGGGTGTGGGCGGCCACAAAGGATATCTCTATTATGGATACGCTATTGTTCTTCTATTGGATCTCTGCTGGATTTTGGACGATCTGATGACCTTTTGGTATTCGGCGCGTATTACGAGCAGCAATGAGATATTGGTCAAACTCCCCGCCTGGGATTACAATCAGCGGTTCCATCGAGATGCATTTGAAGCATCGACAACGAACGCTGCCAAAGGACTTGCGGGTGCATTGGATCATAGTCATGACAAGCTCAAGAAGAAGCAACCAAAGGGAGGGCCGGCTATCAAGCAGTTCCAATACTATCGACTTGTGTTTCCGGATGATCACGAGTTCGATGCCAAGACTATTTTTTCCGATTCTGGAGAGGACAATTGGCTTCAGCTTTTGATTTGAACTGTGAAGATTGACCATCAACTTGCAAAGGTGAAGGACCGAGAAGACAATTACGCAGTCTTTTTGGTTGTATGCGATCATCTCACCAGTCGCAAAAAGGGAAAGACGGAGGAGAAGGCCACCATGAGTGAGGGATGCCAGCAAGATTCTTGCTAGCCTTGGCTACACTGTTCCAGGTCCGTAGAAAGCAGGCTGCAAACTTGCCATTTGCTTTTAGTGTAGTGATCTAATGAAAAATGTTTTGTTACTCATTTTGTTGCCTCAGTAGCTGTGCCATCGCCATATCCTCCAATCGTAGCACCAGCACCATCTCCTCCAGTGCTGCCCTCTCCAGCACCAGCTCCTCCGATTGCTCCGGTGCCAGTTCCGGCACCAGCTCCAACAAGGGAGAAGAGGCGAGCTGGAAAAGACAAGGCAGTTACCACCTCATCGCTTGCCCGAGCGGCAGCAGGCAGCAAGGGGGGAGGAGCACTGCAAGAACTGATTGATGTCGCTACTGACCTGAAAGCATTTATGAGTGCTGACTCGACAAACAAACCAAAGCGAACAGCTGACGATTTGTCTTTGAACGATGATGCTCGAGCTGATCTCGCCGATCAATACGGCGATACACACAGCGATATGGAGGCCGAGGCCGAGATGGATGACGAAGAAGAAGAACAATATTTTGATTGCGACCATGACGATATCTAACAAAATAGCTAGATGCTAAATTACTCAGAGCTCTAGCTATCCTGCATTCCATCCACCAATACATGGTAGATTGGGCTGCCCAAATCCATCTTGTAGCAGCAAACAACAGTGACAGCCTCAAATCAGCTTGTGAAACGGTGGAGA